CGTGGTTGAGAAGAAAAACGTTAGAAGACCCTCTCAACGACTGTCGGAGTACCTTGTGCTTGTTGGATTTTCTGCCCGGCATTTGTGTCTCGTTAGTCCACTTTTCGTTGATATTTTCCCACATCCGTGACATAGCCATAGCTCTCTCCTTCCTTCTATTTTCTTTTCGCACTTATCCAGCTTTGCTGTCTTCGTCTCTTTTACCACTTGGTGGCTTTGCCGTTGATGTGCAATAAGGCCTTTAGCTGTTTTGTAGCTGCGTGGACATCCTCCTATTCCGCACGGGTGCAGATGGGTCTGTTTTGCCTTTGGACGTTCAGTGACCGCTTTCAGTTTGTCAATCTCGGCGTTTCGGATTTGTCTTAGTCTGTCCTCTATGGCTTCCAGTTGCTCACCTCTCTCGCTGGGGTTGACCTCGCTGGGGTTGAATTGGATATCCCTGTTGTTCAGTGCGCGTGTTAGCGCGTTCCACCAAGTTTGATATGCTCCTACCTTCTTTCTGCCCGGCAGTCTTGGGTTCAGAATCCATCTGAATAGTTCGCCTTTTCCTGGTGCATGTGCCACTTTGTACGCAAATTTCATTTGCCTCTGCATTACAATCAGATCGATACACATAATCTTCCTTAGGGCTTTCGGGGTTGCCGCTACCAGCTCCCGACTTGTGCGTTTCTCCATCCAATGCCAGCCGAGACTGCGTCTGATGAGTATTCTGGTCGATGAGTTGATGGTCGCCGTCCTCTTGAGAATCCATGCTTCGCACCCGTATAGTAACACCGGTAGCACATAGGTTACCATTGTCATTATTTTCAGTTCGGGTCTCAGCGCGCTACACCAAATTCTGCTCATTTTCGTTAGTTTGAGTCTGGCTTCCATCTTCCTCGCTGCAATCTATCTCTGTCTCAGTGCCTCCGTTTGCTTGCAGCATAAATCCGAGGTATCTACCCTCACGCTGGCTTGGTATAGTGCCCTTGTTTGTCTCCAGTGCATCCTCACTCTGATTGGAAATCAGTATAGTTTTCGTGTGGTTCACGCTTAGCCCATTGCGTTCAAGATGCGAGGTGATCTCGTCATACACAGTCTGAGTAACCTGTCGCCCCACTATCAACGCTATGTCGTCCGCATATTCCAGGTGCTTGACTTCCAGGTGTTCTGCCGGTTTCCACGCCGTCATTACAAATGACATGAATATCTTAAACAGTGTGGGAGCTAGGGAGCATCCTTGTTTCACTCCTCCGCAATATCCAAACGTTCTTTCTGTGCCTTTTATTGCTGCGGTCGTTTTGTGATGCATACTCTTGATCACACTTATTAGCCTTTCTCCCACATTGTAGTATTCCAGCGCTTTCCACACCAGCTGTCTGGGCACCGAGTCAAATGCAGCTTTGAGGTTTATGAGGATTACTACAACTTCTTTTCGCCAATTGTAACTTTCTCTCAGATAGGTTTGTACGTACATTACATTGTGTATGGTTGATCTCCCTCTTCGGAAGCCGCTTTGGCTGTCCAACCCCAGCGAGGTCAACCCCAGCGAGAGAGGTGAGCAACTGGAAGCCATAGAGGACAGACTAAGACAAATCCGAAACGCCGAGATTGACAAACTGAAAGCGGTC